AACTGACAAACAGATTGCTAGCTATTGATCAAACAATGCAATAATTAAATGAGCAATGCCAACAATGGCATATTCACACGTACAAATAAAAAATTTTTGTATTGTGTTTTCATTAGATTGAACTTAATTTTTTGAAAATATACAAGAAATAAATTAATGAAAGCATTTTCTTGTGTTGAAACATCATGATAATTAAATAAGATGATGAAAGGGTTAGAAAACATTTGAAGAATGCTGGTTACTAATTGACACACACATATATCTCGATTAAGACAAATTCATGGGTGAATTCATTGGAATGACAATGGTGATGATGATAAGCACAATAATGATAGTTATGTCGTAATTTTGATGTTGTTGATGATGATGGTGATATACAATGATAAGGTAAATTTCATTGATGGCGATGTGGATGGTTAAAAAATAGCAAAAGATATTTTTCTGTGAAGACAAATTTGACTGTTTGTCTTTGATGGTTGTAAGAGGGATGTAAAGAAATTAAATTACTACTGCTACTGAATTTGCAGGAAAGTTGTGATGGACGTGATGTAACAACTCTAACATGCATTTTAGGTTGCCTCCACATGCGTTTAGGTTCCAATTGCTTATCATTTCATGTTTAATTATTTCAATATCATCAGCGTTATGTTTAAACTAAAACTAAAAAAGTATTATGTACATACTCGGTTACAATGTTCAGAACATGCATTCACATTCACACATTACTTTATATTTATATAAATACTCGCCAGTTTGAACAGGGCAAAATTACAAATACCATCAGGTGGGCCTGGGCTGCATGCAAGAGCTTGATGGGCACTGTCATTAGATAGCAAGCTTCCCTCTGATGAATGCAGACAATTATTCTTTCTTTTTCTTCTTTTTATTTCATCCTTTGTTCTTTTCCTCGAAATAAAGCCTGTATATGATTATATTTTTGAATGCATACATTTATCTCCTATTTTGTAATAATATTTTTGTAGTAATTCTATCTGGCGAAAACGCATGTTTGTACGTGTTTGTTTGTGTGGCTGGAGAACCATATGCAAAGATGTCTCTGTGTGTTTGTATGTTTGTATGTCTATGCGTGTATGTGTGAATGTGTGTGTGTGTTTGATATTTTTGTGATTGAGTGTTGTTGCTAGATAATGGATGCACTTAATTCAAAAAGACACTTATGAGTAAATAAATTTTTAAATTTGACATCAATGGTCAATGATGGTCTAATGGTTAAGGTCGCCTGGTGCTGTTTCGCAGTAACCGAGTTCGAATGTGACAAAAAGATCCTCGCCCATCGCATGCTTCGTGTATGATGCGTCATTTAGCACGTATTCATATGGGATGTTTGTGCGCTCTGTTGAATCTTCTGAACTTTGGAAGAGTGTAATTGACCTTTAACCTTAGAGCTGTTTTTTCTTTATTGAATCAGCATCTAATTACGACGGTATGCCAATAAAGCACAGGAACATCATTTGGTAAATTTTTCTGAAGACATGTCTTCTATTGAATATCGCGGACAGTCCATTCTTTGACGGTGCACCATTTATTTAAAAAAAAAATAATTTTCAGGTGCAAATAATTTTGAAAGAAAAAAATGAAAGGAAATATAGTAAAATGAATGTTTAAATGTAGTTGTTGTAAGAAGCTGAAATTGAAATGGTGAGAGAATGCTTGTACTCTGGTGATAAAAACAATATTATGATTTTGAACTGAATACCGAGGTAATTTATTATACAATATTATATATTGTTCAAGATAAAAACTAATACGTCCGTCCATTGTACAATTAGACCAGCAAGCTGGTTCAAGGTTCCTATTCTTCCAGCCAAACAGATAATTATCATATGAATAATTTTTGGAGTATTTGATATGTTGGAAAAATGATAGATAAATAGGGTTTTAGTTGTAAAATCAAATAAAATTAATTTTTAAATTATTTCTGACTTATAAAAGTTTTTATATCCTCAAAACACTTTGCATTCATATCTCACTTTGCATTTAATTTTCAGCTAACGAATGCAAATTTCTTCAATATGTCTACGTGAAATCTTTTGAAGATGCATTGTACGCACACTTTTGTTGTACAACATGCATTGAGCATCGTGCACATATTTGATAATTTTGATGTTATTGTTGTTAATGTTGTTGATGTTTTTGTTATCGATATTATTGTTGTAGTTTTTTGTTTTGTTGATGTTGTTGTTGGTGGTGTTGTTGATGTTGTTGATGTGTTTGCAAGCTTGAGGTTTAAGAAATACGTGGTCGTTGTGGTTAATGCTGACAATGACGTTGATGTTGTTATTTTTAATTGGATTGTTGTTGATAATAAGGTGGAGGTTGTTATTTTTAATTGGGTTGTTGTTGTTGCTGCTGTTGTTATTGTTGAAGATGACGCCGTTCATTAGTAGCTTAATTGTGGTTACTTGATTCTCTCGTCCGAGTTGGGTGTTGTTTCAGTTGATTGTTGGTTGGTTGTTTGTTGTTTTTATTGCAAAATTAGTACTAGTTTTTTCGTCTGTTTGTTTTGCTGCTTTACGATCGTAGGTTTTATTTATTTGTTTCTTAATGCTCTTCAACATAATTTAGATTTATAGCGTTTAGAGGTTTTAATTTTTGATGCAAGCGATGTGTTCAGTTTAGCTGTACGCGTGTGCTGCTTGTTTATTCATATGGTTGTTTACTGATTTAAATTTTATATATCAAAATTTTAAAATTTCGTAACTGAAAATGCTTAACAACTATGTTTCTTAATTGAATTATTTTAGAGAGAAATGTATTACACTTTTTTTATTTCATGTTGTTATGATACAGTTCTTATTATCAGCAATAAAAACACATCGCAGACTAGTTAGGTGAGTTCAGTTAGTTTGCATATATTAATAGAATGAACGTAAGACATGTGAACTAAACACAGGAATGACATTCAAAATTTAAATGAAATTAACATAACAACAATCAAACATTTCCTCAATCAAACAACCGATCAATCTATCAAGCACATGTTCAACCAAGCTCATGATTAATTGAAGAGGAACAAAGTAAAAATAAATCTTTGTCTCTTTCTCTTTATTTCTTTATTTTTCTATTTCTCTCTCTCTCTCTCCTCATTCTCTCTCTCTCTCTCTCTCTCTCTTTTTTCTTTCTCTTGTTTTCCTATTATTTGTACACAGCTCATCTATAATTATTTACATATTTTACCTTCCTTTCCAACTTTCTTCCGTTCACTTTTTGCTCCATTCATTTTTTTCCCAACATTCCTTCGTACCAACTCTCTATTTTTGCTCCTCTCTTGGCTCCATTTCTTGCTTTCCAATAAAATATTCTTATTTCATATTTTAAAAGCATGCTGATATTTGTTGGGGTTTCCACATTCAGATGCAAACACAGACACACGATGTCATCGTCATTTTGCTTTTTGAATACAAACCCGATGGGACGATACACGTTGAACTACACACAACTTTAAATACGAATAGGTGTATCGTATATCGCACTATGTTTATGTGTGCTTGCTAGTGCTTGTGTGTGTATCTATGAGTTTGTGTGCGCGTGTATGTGTCTCTGTGTGTCCTTTTGTGTGCGAGTGCCAGTGTGCCTGTGCGTGTGTGTGTGTGTATATGTGCGTGTGTGTGTAGCCTATCTTGCCTAATGGATGAATGCTTATTGACAAGAAGATTTTTTTAAACATTATCTTAAATGCATAAACATCAGTTTAGAAATTGAAAATAAATTTAAATAGTGCAGCTAACTGGAGGCAGTAACTTTCACTACAAACGAATGTGTGTGTGTTAACATGTGTTCGTGTGTGTGTGTATGTATTTTGTGTGTGTTGTGTGTGTGTGTGTGTGTGTCGGGCTAAACAAACATTCGTTTTTGTGGGTTGTTATGATGTTTTGTTGTTATGATCTGTTGTGCTGGTTTCACTGCAAACCTACTTATTAAAGTTGTTTAAAAATTTTTTTTTCAATATTTTCATTGCCTTTTTGCCTTTATGGATTTTGTGTTACTAGTGTTGTTGATGATCTAACGATTCTACAATTGCTGTTATTTTGTTGTTTTTGTTGTTGTTGCTATTATTCTTTGTTGTTGTTTTGTTGTTGTTAATGGGTGTTGTTATCAGACGTGTTGTTGCTGTTTAACTTGTGTTTAGTGCAGGATGTTTTGATAATGTAATTAAATTGTTTTATGTTTTTACAAGAATTTAATTTGGCTTTCTATACATTACTGTTGTTGTTGTTGTTGTTGTAGATTTTATGTGAAGTGTTGTGTGTGACGTTGTGTGTATGTGATACTTGCGTTCTTGTGATTATGTGTATGATGTTGTTGTATGTGATGTTGTGTGTGTGTGTATTGTTGTATTTTCTATATTGTTGGGAGCTTTGTTGCTGTGTCTATTTTGCTCCTGTTACATGCCTTCTTTTTGATCTAAATCTTGTTATCAGATACTGTTTTATGTTCTCCCATCATAAGTTCTTAAAAGGATTATTACATGCCTCAGATTTGTTTTTGTCATTTTGAATACTTGTAATCAACAATCATTTTTGTTTGTTGTGTTTCTCTTTTGGAATATTATTTAATTTTATTTTAATGACACAAAATTTTAAAGTGGCTGAATTTTTTTAAAATTATTAGTGAAAATTCAAATTGGATACCATGTTATAATTGTTGATTAATGAAGACTTTGAGCGTGAATGAGTTTAATAAGTTTAATCTTAAAAACAGTTTATAAGAAATGAATACAATTATTTATTTTATTTTCCAACTTATAATTGAATTGAAAATATTAACAATAGTTAAATTTTGTATCTAACTGAATGTTTGGTCTGTGCCACAAAGAGCAACAAACAGCATTGAAGACTGTCGAACCAGCAGCAGCTTCAACAACGAAACAAACAACAACAACAACAACAACAACGTCAGTTTTGTGTGAATGGCAGACATTTGAACCGCACTGTCCAGATCATCACGTGATCATCATCACTTCCGCCTTGTATGGACGCATGCGAAGCAACGATTGCATCTCATCTAAATACGGTCACGTGGGTTGTTGGGTGGATGTGACGTCACACTTGAATGGCCTATGTGGAGGCAGGACGAGCTGTCAGGTTTTGGTCATTAGTTTGTACCAGTTGCTCGTCGACTGTCCACGGGATTTCAAGGCTTTCCTCGATGCCACCTTCCAGTGTTTGCAGGGTGGGTCGGTTGTTTTTTGTTTATGTTTGCTTATATATTTACTTGTTGGTGTTGGATGTGTTGGAAATGGATTGCATTAACATCGGTACATTTTGTTTACAAACATGATTCATTCCCACATGCTTGCTCAGTGCTATCTATTGATCAAAACGATATTTGGGCTGTTTTTCAAGGTTTTTTTGTTTTAATTGTAAGAAAAATGTTGAGTGGTTTTGTTTTCATCATGTCTGAAAAGCGTTTCTAACGCTGCATTCAATGTTTCATAATGTTTCGTTTTGTCAAAATTTTTTCAACATTTGTTGTTGTTGTTGCTGCTGTTTTCTAACATCATTTTTGTTGTTGTTGTTAAAAATCTTTCGGTTTTGTTTCTATTGTTGGGTGCAATAAACAGATCAACATCAAACTTCCTCTGTTTTTTGATAGAGTTGTTTGAACATATTTTCAATTCCATTTTATATGAATGACTTTTCAATTTTTTGTTACAATGTGTACTAAAATAATTATTTAATTAATTTTTGCATTTGTAAATTATAACCACCAACGCTTAACTCTAACCCAACAAACACCAACAACACAACCAGCACATCACCGACAAGCATCAACAACACTTTCACCTCATCAAACATTTTTCCATTTTGAACAGTAATCAGGCCAGTGAACAATCAATGCTCACACCTTCCAAACAACAACATCGTCGACAACAACACTGATAAATATTTGCTGCTAAGCAACAGCACGACTTCCGGTTACCTGTCTAATTTGGTGTCACGTGACGCCAATGCCAAAAAAAACTGTCATTGGTTCATTTGGCTTCAACATGATTACCAAAGAATAAATTTAACTTTTATAATTTTTAACATAACATCAAACAACAAGAACGACGACGAAGACAGTTTTTCTTCGAACAGCAACTTCATGTACCACAGCCACAACAGCCCCACAACCAAATCTCGCTATAAAACTTACGTCATAAAAAGTTTTAACAATAAGATCGAGGACAATTTGATTACAAACAACAACAACAACAACATAAACAATGACATTAACAACGTCATTTACAACTCTAACAGGAATAGTCACAACAACCACAACAGCCACAGCTACAACAACCACAACGACGATGATGGTGCCGGCGAAATTTCTTGCATTCCCCTAGCAAGCCTCGCAGAAATAAGAATGGTGATTGAGGGAATGAAGGCGAGTGCAGTGAAAGAGAAAATGAGATATGTGTGTGTGGAGGAGAGATGGAGAGATAAAGAGGATGAAAAGAGGGAAGGTGGTGGCGGCTTCAATTTCGTTAGCAGGTATGGCATTAGTGGTGTTGAAATAAAAATGTTTGACGACCACAATAAAAACATCAACGATGTAAAAAGCGCTAACCACTATGCCGACATCAACAACAACAGCAACAACATCAACAACAACATCAACTTTTTACAACTGAAGATGGCTTATTACCTGATCAAAATAGAAGGTTCTTATGGAAACTTTTTAGTTTGATTTTCATCGTATAATGTCTATCACAACATCAATTGTTCTAAAAAGTTTCGATAATATTGAAATAAAAAAATTATTATTAAATAGAAACGTACTTTGAATATTTTAATAAAGTAACATTCAAAAAAGAAACACATTTGGAAAACACCATTTACAAAATAGTTTTGTATATGTGATGGTTGCAAATAATAACTTTTGCAATTCCTCACGTGGGACGGTTTGAAATGAAAAATTAAAACAAATACCTGACAAATTTTTTTACTGTTTAAACTTTCTTTATTAGTTAATTAAAAACTAGTTAAATATTTTCAACAGATATTAAAAAATTAATCAATTGTAATAATTTTTTTATATGAAATTTTATTGTAAACATGTACATACATATAATTGCAAACTTCCAAAACTTCACAATTTAAAATTACTTCTCCGTGTTCTGAAAAGAGTTTGTATGCTTCTCACCTAATTTTCAAATTATCGCAGAATATTTCAACGATTTCAACCCTAAAATAATTTCTTTCTTTTCAACCAATGAACATATTTTTCAATGAAATTATCTATTCATTTTTTGATTAATTTGACAATAAAAAAACAACTTAATTTAAATTAAACGGAGAACCTCAACATGGTAATTTGTAGTGATCGGATGCCCTCCATATCCCCTTCCTCCCAACTCCTGGTCTCGCATCATTGGTGAAGTTATGACGGTCACGTGCAACGAGACAGGTGAGTACTTCCGGTTGACCTGCAGCGAAGGTCAGTGGAAAGGTCAAGCTGATAATTGTTCGTCTGTTCTTTTCAATCAAGGTTGATCTTTTTGGTTTTAAATTTTTTGGGCGCTGCAGTTCAACAGAGCAATTGTTGTTGTTGTTGTTGTTGTTGTTGTTGTTGTTTTTATTGTTCATGTTTCTCTACATTATATGTACATACAATTTAGTTTATTTTTCTGTTAACTTGCACTACACATGCTCATACTGCTATGTAGAATAACTGGTTTATTATATACTTGGTGTTGTGGGATATGTTTGCAAATGTTGTCCACAATCTTATGCGCTGCACGATTACTTACCTGTTTGTAATGATCTGCATACACAATTGAGCACACGTAGAAATTTTCCTGCTAGCGTGCAAGCTGGAACAAAAGCAAATCCCATTTTGTAACTATTTAAATTAATTATTTCTTGAATAATTATTTAAATTTTAAGTCGTATCTAGATAGATATTGCTATCAAATTGACTAACATAGTCGTTATTAGTTAACGGATGATGACTTTTTCAAACCACATCAATCCGTGATATGAAAAACTACTAGTTTTGAAATGATTGCAAAACAAATGAAATACAAGTTATTTATAGAAGAGTACAGTAATTATATAAATACTCCCCCCACTATACATCACTCAATGAGCATGAGCAATAAGTGGATAACTTTTGTCATTACGAGATTTTCATTAAAAATTGCAACATTCGTTGTCGTCATCATCATCGTCGTTATCATCATTATCACTGCCACTAACAAGCAACAATAATAATCATGATCATCATTATTACCATCACAACACCATCATCATTATGAACGATGACCACAACAACAATATTAATAATAATCATAATCATCATCATCATCATCATCATCATCATCATCATCATCATCATCATGACCAACCACCCCATTAAAGATGTTGACAGGTCGGCATATGATTGGTTGAGCGAGGGATCATTGCATCAAGGTACGTGTGACGTCATATCTTCGATTGTTGAGTCACGTGATTCATAACTATCGAAAAAAACATCAACACACAAATAATAGTGAAAAAATAAGGAAAATATTATTATAAATTCATAATTTTTGTAATATAAATTATAAAAAAATTTATTTTCACGTTGGTGTACAATTGAAAGTTACACTGAACATATAAACTAGTTAAGTTTGTAATCAGTTTAGTTTGAAGCTTTGAAACAAGAGTTATGTTGCATAAAATACATAAAAATTGCACAACTTGTGTTGGCATCATTACAACATTTGTGCAAAAAGATGCTGTCAGTTGTCCATTCATTCATGATTTTATGTATCATACTAAAATTTACACACAACAGCATTTAACAGCATCAAGCAACAAACACACAAACAAACAAACAAACATAATAATGAACGAACAAACTAACAGTCAGTCAAACATACAGGCAAACAAACAAACAATAAAACCGTAACATGTTTTTCACTTGCAAAAAGGTTTGCTGCTGGTAGTTTCGTTGGGGGTGTTGATCGGGGTTGCCACGGGGGTCCTCATGTTGCTGGCTGTCCTCGCCTACACAAAAAAGTGAGCGTTGTTTTCGTTTAAGATATTCTTGTTTTTTGATTGCAATTATTTTGATTCTCTTGTATGGAATCATGTTTCTCAATAATTTATATAAAAAATTATTTCGTTGAAAATCTCAATAATTTTCGGAACTTTCATGGATTTTTACGGCACATTTTTATTAAATTACCATTTAAACAAAACAATGTTTTTGAATGTTAGAAACTTTATTTTGGGTTTGGTTTGCACAAAAATTAAATTAGCAGCACTTATCCACTTATTTCCTTCCATTTCTGTCAATGTCAAAACGTCGTTGGAAAATTATGTGGTGTTGTCGGAGGTTGGATAACGTGATTTGAACATAAGTGCTCGTGTTATTGTTTAATGGATCGGTCTAAATCGTTTGTCGTTCTGTCGTCTCTGCGTTGTTTGTCAGTGTTTGTGATGTTTGCTGTGTTTGTGATGTTTGCAGTGTTTGTGATATTTGCAGTGTTTGTGATGTTTGTCAGTGTTTGTGATGTTTGTCAGTGTTTGTGATGTTTGTCAGTGTTTGTGATGTTTGTAATGTTTGCAGTGTTTGTGATGTTTGTGGTGATGAGTTCTTAAAAAACTTCGAAGATGTTGCTCAACGGATGAACTCTGTTGATGATTTTCCTGACTTGTGTGATTTTTTAGTTAAACTATTCCACGGAACTCCATCTGCAGACATTAGCCACCCTTACATTGCAATTTCACAGTCCACGCATTAAAACCAATAATAACAAACGACAGCCTCAAAAGCAAAGACCAATGCACTACCGAATGATTGTTTTCAAGCATGTTTCCTAATGGCAAGCAACAAATTAAAAACAAGACGACTCACCTCACGAGAGGTTTTTATTTTTTTGAACCACAAGGCGAAAGTTGCGCAGAATAAGAAGCAGGTCAGCTTATGCATTGGCCACCGGAAGCTACTACCACCACGACAACCAGTCACATGGCCAACACAGTTACGACGATCCATATCATTCTCAGAGTCATCATCATCATCACAGTCATCAGAATCATCACCAGGATCATTCGTCCCGGCATGCACCTCAGCCTCCCCCACACCGCCACCCACTCACGCATCGTTATGATGATGAGATCCTCTACGCTCCCTACAAAATCCCCTCTTGCGTTGACGAACTGTTGAATGTCGACTGCAACATCAATGCACTGACCTGCAAGAACAACATTTGTTGTCACAACGACCTAAGTAGCAACATCAACAACAACATCAATAGCAGTAACAACTTCTGCAGCCCCAGCAACATATCTTCAGGTGCACTAACAAATATCTCACCTTCCACATTGACAACTGAACAGATGAAACCTCAAAAAATCTACGCTGAAGACAAACACTGGACTGCCAATAACTTCAACAATCTTAGCACAACTCAAAACATTAGCCAAACCATTAGTACTACCAACAACAAAACTGATGACAACAACAACGACGACAGCACCAACATCATCCACAACATCAGTAATTGTAATCATGTTAGCGATTTAAAAAAGGATAACACGACTGACAATTTCAACAAAAGCACGGACGGCAAAGTTCAAAACATTACTATCAACAACGACATTAACGATAAAAACATCGCCAACAACAAAAATCGCAACGACTTGTACGGTAGGTTATCACCGGACCCTTTGTTGCTGATGCAATTTGTCCAAGAAAATAGCAGCAACTACAACAGCAGCAACAACAACAATATCATCAACAGTAGCAACAACAACAACAAAACAGTCAATATTCCAGACTTTTACACAATGGTAGGCGCTGTTACAACATCAGCCGCCAGAAGCGGTCCATGCAGTAGTTACGATTGTGTCGCTCTGACGGCAGCTGCAAACAACAACAACACTATTATCACTTCTATAAGCAATAACAGCACAATTAACGATATAGATTTGGAGGTGGATCGAAGAAGGAATGATGACACAATTGGCGACTGTCGACTTACTGAAAACCTTCCCAACTGCCCTATCAGCAGTAACGTCGAAATCTTCAAATTTATCAACAACAAACATTTCAAGAGCATCAACAACAACAAAATAGAAACTGAAAATTTTATTAAATCTCCAGACAACAAGAAAGAGGTTAATATATTTTCAAATACAAATAATTTAACCCTTATCAAAGATGAGAACATTAATGATACGAACAACAAAACAAACTACAACAGACGTGCGGACAATATCAAAAATGTTAAGAACGAAAATAACATCGCAAATAACAACAACAAGAACAACCGCAACAACGACAACCGCAACAACAGCATTAAAGACAGCAGCGTTGACGTCATAAACATTAATTTAGCAACAAAACCTGCCTCAGAGAGAAGTTGGGTGTGGAGTACGTGGAACAAAAAATCAACACATCAACAACAACAGCATCAACACCATCAAGATCTTCCTCAATATCATCTAAACACGAAATTAGTGAATAAAAAATCTAAATTACAAAAGATGTTCTCGTCTCTATCTTCATTTACGCTAAACAGCGGCAGCTGCAACAACAGCAGTGTCCACAGCAGCACAACTTCAACTTGCAAGAAAGGTAGCACAAGAAAGAAGCAGAACTCAGTGTCCAACAGCCGAAATATTCATTATTCGAAGCTCGTCAAAAAACCAATTGACAGAATAAACAGAAAGCAGAGCACTGAAATATCAAATAACTGCAGTAGCGAAATTAAAAACAATCGCAACCGCACTAGCGACGACAACGTTGTTCATAACATCATCAACAACAACAACAACAACAACAACAATTCCAACGATGATGCCAAATTAAAATACGACCAACTAACTACATTCCGATGTGCAACGAGTTTACTTAGCAACTCCAGCACCAGCCAGAACAACAACAACAACATCAACAACAACAAAAACAAAAGCAGCATTAGTTACAGCAGTTACATTAACAACAACAACAACAACACTAACAGATCTAACAACATATTGGTACCACTGACGAGCGCAAGCATTACAAACGACTCCCTGCCTTATTATCATCACAGGTTCAACTCCGACAATCAATTTCATCAACAACATCATCAACAACAACATCATCAACAACACCATCATCAAAAACAACATCAACAACAACAACAACATCGTCAACAACAACATCAACAGCAACAAAAAAGCAGCGACACCAATGACAATTGTTTGACATCAGGATCATCATCAATAGCAGCAGCACTGTGTTATCATCAGCAACATCAGCATCATCATCTGCAACAACAACAGCAACAACAACAGCAACAACAACAACATTGCAACACAGATGATGATGACAGTTTATACGGCTGTCGTCATCATCAATCACGTGATATACTTCTACAATCACCATTATCAACACCATCACAACAACATCAACAATATTTAATATCGCCATACCATCATCGTCATCATCGTCATCATAATCAACTTTGTCACCATTACTCATCTGATGAAATGATGATTGACGAAAGAAGTTGTTGTGATGATGATGGTGATGATGATGATGACGACGATACCGAATCTAACTACGATTTATTTTCTCATCATTGCTCATGCATGTCTAACATTTCAAATAACATCAGCAACAACAACAACATCAACAAAAACTACAACAACAACAATAACAACAACAGCATCAACAACAACAACATCAACAACAACATCAACAACAACATCAACAACAACAACTGCAATGATGACGATAAAAATAACACTTTGAACAATAACAGCACAACAAAAAGACACAACAACAACGATAACATAATTAATAACACCAACAAAGGCAGCAACATATCAAACGTTAGTGCAAAAAATAGTATTAATAGTAGCATCAACAACAACAACAACATCAACAACATCAGCAACAACAAACCTGACCTAGTTATTCCACCTGCATTACCAGCCAAACCGATGCATTTGTTACTTCAACGTAATGTCGTCATGCAACAACAATATCAACATCAACAACAACAACAGCAACAACAACAGCTTCAACAACAATATCAACAACAACATCAACAACAACAACATCAGCAACTTTCTTGCCCTTCGTGTAAAAAGCATTACTTAAGATCATCATCCGTATTGTGAAATTGAAGAAAAGAATGGAATGATGAAGATGATGATGGTGAAGATGTAGATGATGGTGATGATACTAAAAACGATGTTGATGACGATGATGACGAGGCTGAGATGGTGATGATGATGAGAATGGTGATGAAGATGATGATACAAATGAAGGTATGAAGATGATGAGAAAATGGCTGATAAAGATGGTGATAATGATAATGCTGCTGATGTTGATCATGATGATTATGATGATGATGGTGACTCTTACAATAATGTCAATAATGATGATGATAATGATGATGATGATGATGACCTTAATATCGTTGTTGATGATGATGATAACAATTACGTGGTGACGATGTTGCTGATTGTGGCAGTCGGGATGAGAATGATGATGATGATGTGGACGATGATGATGTGAAACACTGAACAATGAAATTCAGATAATGATGACAATGATGATTACGATGATGACGACGACCATGAAGATGATGATGATGATGATGATGATGATGATGATGATGATGATGATGATGATGATAAAATCAACAATTATGATGATGATGATGATATTTGATGATGATGATGATTGCAATAATAATGGTAATCATGATGGTGGTGATGATGATGATGATGATGATGACGATGAAAATGTTGATGATGATGATGATGATGACGATGATGACGACGACCATGATGATGATATGAAATTGATGATGATGATAAGACAGGATATGAGTGCGATAGATAAGACAGTAGAATCATTTGAATGTGGCATGGAAGACAGAGTGATGAATCATTGCGACCGGCCAGTTAGTCTACGCTCATTAAAAATGGAACACCGGCAATGATTAAATTGCTCGTCGTGCGACTGCTGCTGCTGCTGGTGTAGTCGCTTCAGTGATGGTGAAGACGAAGAAGAAGATGATGATAAAAATGGTGATGATGACGGTGATGATGGTGACGATGAAGATGATGATGATAATGACGATGATGAAGACGCTGCTGATGAAAAATTAGGTTTTAATTTATTTTTAAGAAATAATAATCATAGTAAAATTAAATACCCAAAACAAATACTATAAAAGAAGAAATAAATGCATCTAATAATAAACAGTCCTATCGGGTTATACGAAAAAAATTGTTTTAGAATGAGTGCACTTGCTGATAATGGCCAACAATTGGATAAATGAATGAAACATTTTAAACAATAATCACGTACATGCTACTTGCTTATACTTAATATCAATAGCAGTTGCATCAGTAGTTAGTAACTTTCAAGTTTGAAACGTACTTCATGTTCCAGCGTTTAAAGACCGAACACACGCGTATTTTATAATTTTGTATTTTTTGACGTCTTCGACTTCATATCACGAAACGTTTCGGAATTTTTGTTTATTACGTACACCCACTCATACACACACACATACACACACGCACATATATATATATATATATATATATATATGTGTGTGTGTGTATATATATATATATATATATATATGCATACAATTATACACGTTAATGTATGTATATACCATACATACATCCGTATTTATATTTCTTTCTTCGATAAGTTTGAGGCTAATTTCAAAATTGAAGAACTCTCCCAAGATGATTGCTTTAATGATAGTCTCAGGCTAGCATGCGTGTGTGAAAATATTTATCACAAGCAAACTTACTTGTGTATCTAATTATATGTTTGTATGCATGTATTTGTGAATTTATGTATGTATATTTGTATGTATATATGTATGCATTAATGCGTGTGTATGTGCGTGTGTGTGTGTGTTTGTGTGTGTGTGTCTGTAGTCAACCCGTATTTTTTTCTTTCTTAATGGTGCAGCTGTATAAATATGATGAATAATTTTTGCATAGGAAAGTGTGGACCAGCCAGCCAGCATTAAGAGAATGAGTGTGTGTATGTGTAAGTGCATGTGTGAATGTGAATGTGGACGCGTGTGTGTGTGGTGTGTGTGTTGTTTGTGTGTGCGTGCGTGTGTGTGTGTGTGTGTGTACGTGAATTAGAAGGAAGATGTGACATAGTTTATGAAATGTTATTAGTGTTTAACGAAGCATTCATTGTTCTCTTTCTAAACTGCATGACTTTCTTATGAGCGAAAGAGTGTATAAATAAATGAAGAAATGAATAAAAGAAAGAAAAAATTTATTTAATAAAAAATTAAATGGTAAATAAATAATTAATTTAATAAATGGATTGATTAGTATAAACGCGCGAATGTATAACGGCTTAATTTACGATCAATGAATTAAATAAATGAAGAATAATAAATGAATGAATGAATGAATGAATGAATGAATGGATGGATGGATGGATGGATGGATGGATGGATGGATGGATGAATGAATGAATGAATGAATGAATAAATGAATGGGTGGATGGATGGATGGATGGATGGATGGACGAACGAACGAACGAACGAATGAATGAATGAATGAATGAATGGATGAATGAATAAATGAATAATGAACAAACAAATGAATGAATAAACGAACGAATGAATGAATGAACGAGTGA